CACGCTTGGAAGGGATGGGACTATACCGGAATGGGCAAAGCGAAGAAGTTTGTAACATTGTAACAAGTTCAGGCACCGGGAACATGGGCAAAGATTAGGAGTACAACAAAGTGAGCGGAGGGATTCATGCCCCGTGATCGGATCATCTTTGGCCTTTATACGTAGACTCATGACCCGCCACAGCCTCTAGCCAAATTATTGAAGGGAGGGGCTCAGAGCAAAAAAGTCATCTCTGTTTGACGTTTTCTTTGTTGTGACGCATGTCTTTATGTGCGTGTCCAACGTTTATCTGTTATTGCATAACATTTGATCTGGAGAATTAAGCAGTACTCCATGTTACCATGTGCTGGGTTGCTCGGAAAGTAATTACAATTACTGAAATATAATTTTTCAAACATCTGTTATAAAGCTTTCCAAAAGTTCGAGCGCTCTACCTGGTATGTATTACAGGTCATGTTCGAAGTTTTTGATAGAAAATTCAAAATTTTCATTCCCTCCTGTAATTTTTGGAACAGTTCAACAGAAGCATTTTTGGCAAACTTTATTATTTTACTTCTATCGTGGCCGAAAAGCTGTTTCTTTACCAACTAAATATGTAGCGCATAAAATAACATTTTCTCTGACAGAGCGCATGTGAAACTTAATTTACAAGTGCCCATTTTTACTATTTTTATTTCGACTTGGGCTGACTAGTGGTATCAGGCAGTATTTGATATTGATAGTCTTTTGATGGCATTGACGAAATGCGAGTGTGAGGTAATAGTGCGAGAAGCTACTGAGAAGGCCGACGCACTCTTCGGAACGAGTAACGAACACATCGAAATAGACCAATAAGAAAGTTAGATGTTCCGGTGTCACATGATCGAAGGCGATCCATTTGACGCATCGAGTTAATACCTCGAACTGCACATCACACGCAATGCAGAGCACCCTTTTTTTATTGATGAAATTCGAAATATTATTGATAATGATGCACTAAATACTACGATCAATAACGAATTAACGTGGTGCCGAAATGAGATCCAGAACTGGTCTTCATCGAGTGGAGGTCCCACTATCACTTTCACGGGTTGCAAGGGTGTAATACAGCACCCACCCTGAT